TTCATTTATAAATAGGGGGTGATATTCTATCATACCCTAAGCTGGTTACCCAAGCTTCAAGCTCGTCGTGTCCTGCATTTTTTGAAAATCAACATATTGGCATGTCCGTACCATGTCATGTGTATGTGCTACTTAGGCTAGAACCAAGGATCAGGACAAAACATCTAACATGTCTTACTCAGTAAATTACGTGTCATGAAACTAAACATCATTTAATTAATGAAACTGTCTAACTGTAATCAAATAAATTTCAATAGTTGCAGACTCTAAGAGAGTTATGTACAAGTTAGAAAAACAAGTCTGTCCAATTGAACAAATTAAAGAATTTAAAAAATTATCTGATCTTTTTTCACAGATCTTTCAGAAGATGGGTCCAAAACAGTCCATACAAATTCAGCAGTTGCATGGTGTGCACCAGATGAAAGTGAAGGGAAACCAAATCAAGTATGTCCCTAGCTTCCCACAGTCTATTATCATTCAATTTCATCCAAAGTACATTACAATGTAGCATACACAGGTGCGACACAATACGGACAGGTTAACACCACGCATAGTAAAAAGTAAGACATGGACGCAGCAAGAGGATGACAAAATGTTAATGTACTTTATATATTTTTTTAGGCATAGTATAAGAACAACATAATTTAATCTATTATCTAAATATTTCTACTAGTAAACTTGAAAGATTAAGTTCCAAATATCAAGTATATAATCTATCCTCCTACCTTACTCTATCAATACTTTTTTTTAGCTTTGTTATTATGATTTTTTTTTCTAATGTTAGAAATTGTCTATTGCAGACTTTATGGTGCTAATGTTTACGGTGGAAGTTTTTTAAGAATGTTTCATGGAACATTTGGGATGCAAGTAGCCTTCCTAAGATTGTGACACATTGTTCCTATTAAAAGATTCTCCACATGGCTTGAGTTAGAAAGTATCCGACAAGTCTTGTCAAAGTGTCCACAATTATCATATTTCATTTTTAAACTAGGACGTGTACAAGATTTATCGGACAAATTTTTGGATTGCCCAAGAAGAATAGGTGCCAGACACATGTCCAACACGAAAAAAACTCCTCCCCAAAAGTGATTGTGCTACATAGGTGCATTACATCCCACCATGTTAGCACCATGTCCATGTGTATCACACTTGACGCAGCCTACCTATAGAACTTGGTTTCCACATTCACATAGGACAAACACAATGCAAGAAATGAAGGATATCTATCAGCATTCTTAAGTGACATGGGAGTAATTACAGGGAAAATGTCTTAACTTACCATCCAAAAGAACAATTTTCTTAAAAGAAAGATAATAATTATTGATCAACTGCAAAGCTGATTGGAAATTTTTAAGGCAATCACACTTCCAAAGCTGAAAATTGCTCAAGATTATACTGTTAAATTTTCTATATTTCCCCATTTTGAAGAGATCATACTACATCAACATTCTTGTTTATGCCCTTTCAAAGAGATCATACTCCTCTTTCTTCCTCAATAAGGTTGCCAAACTTCTTTCCAAAATAAAAATTAAACTTATTAATGTATCAAAAAATAAAATATATACTACTCAACATTTAAAAGCTACTGGTGAGGTAGGTTGCTGTTGTTTCAGCCACCATAAGTGATCAACATCCTAAACTTTACAAGATCAATTCGGTGATTATGAGCTTCAGAAAGGAGATTCTTCAAATTGACCAAAAATTATTGAAAAGAAGATCTGTTGGATTAAGGTATTCAGTGTTAAGGTATTTTGTTTCAATTCGTGCATAAAATAAGCCTATGAAATATCCAAAAAATTCATACAATTCAATTATATTATATAACTCGATGACATGACTTGTAATAACTAAAATTTGCTTGAAGAACCAAGTTCAATTTTTATGGAAATTTAATTATTTTATTGTGGAATAATATGTTTTAAATTTTCTAGTTCATCACTAGAATACAAATAGATATTTACGTGTAAGTATTGGGAGATTAGCTAGATATACATGGTTAGGTCCTTTCCAAACAGTTCAAGGTTTTCTATATCTGGTGATCTCACATGGTATTAGAACTTCGGTCTTGGAAGGTCTTGCCTTCAAGTCTCTCCATCTACATATATATGCTATTTGTTTGGTTTGTTTTTTTAACTCTCTTTCTGTCCATTTGCTTTAACCTTTGCTCCCTCCCTTCCTCATCTCCATCCCCAGCCCCCTTGTGTGCTCTGGTTAATAATTTGGCTTCCAACTTATCACCACCAAAAACCTTATGAATATTTTCCATCCAAAACTTTTCCATGAACATGTATTAATATAACTACTCATTATATTCAAAATTATATAATTATAACGTACAATACTTACTAGTAATATGTCAGTGTGATTATGCAAATCATGAAACTGTTTGACTTCATCCAAATATGTATTTACTCTGTTGATGCTTATTAACCTACAACATCATAATGGCAAAGTCATTTTACCTAAGCATCTAGATAAGTTGCCCTCTTAAGTTTGCAGGTGTTTCCTCTTCCTAACTTTTGAATTGTTGTACTGCATGCAGCGAGCTTGTTTGGTTTTGGTTTTCAGAAAATTCTACTTTTTTATTTTCAGTATTTTTTTGTTTTTAATGAATTTTTTAAATATTTTAGGCAATTTTTAAAAAAATTTTAGACACACCCAAGATTTTAAAAAGCGGCCGCAACCGTTACGTGTTACGTAACTGTTGTAGTGGTTACCGCCACCCGTTACGACTTCTTTTGCAGTGTGATTGAGATTTACAAGTGTGTCAATCGTAGCAGCTGCCGTAGCGGTCATAACAGTGCCGTAACGGCCTGTTATGCACCATTACGTAACGGTTCTGAATTGCTTCTTTTGAAAAAACAAAAAAAAAAAAAAAAAACTGAAAATAGGAGAAGGGGATAGAGAGAGAAGAGGGAAGAGGGAAGATGGAGGGCCAAGAGATAGAGAGAAGAAGGAAGATGAAGAACATGTTATTGATTTGTTGAAACTGTAAGACATCAGCTGCTCTCACTCAACCATTTTGTTTGTGTGTGTCTATCTATCTATATATTGTTTGAAAATAATAATAATAATTATAATAATAATAACTGTGGTCATTATCTATTTGGCTTGATTAAAAATATATATATATATATATATATATTTAGGCTCTTATTTATTCTCTTACTTTTGTCATTATTTATCTTATATATAATAGTTAGTGATTGATTTTTTTATAAAATATCTAAAAAAAAATAACACCTATAATTATATATTAATACATATTTTATACATGTCAATTTTTTTTGATTAGTTTAGGAAAAATTATTTATAAGTCCTATTAGGGGGACTTATGCTACATACGGTCCTACGAAAAAACTTACGTTCCCATAAGTCCTGTATGAAGTTTGTTGACATATTTACCCTCAATATTAGTTGTTAATATCATAAATAATGGTAAAACCATATATACGAAATTGAATGTTACCATAGATTAAGTTTGCGAAACGTAACGTGACACCTACATAAACGTAACATAACGTGACCATATCAAATGTGACATTACATAAACGTAACGTGACACCGTAACGTGACACCTATATAAACGAAACGAAACGAAACGAAACGTAACGTAACGTGTCACGTTTCGTTTCGCAAACTTACTAGGTTTTTGATTTTTTAAATTGAATGTGAAAATGTTACTTGTTCGTGTATTTTAAAATTCACATTCACATATATGATGTAACACCTACATAAACCTAACGTGACGTGTCACATTACGTTTCGCAAATAGGATCTTGTGAAATACATTCTTATCTAAATAGGACTTGAAACTCTATAAAAAATTTCACAAGACCTAACATAGCATAAGTGTCCGAAATAGGACTTATAAATAAGTCTCCCATTAGTTTATTTTATTTTTATTTACAGGTTATCCAAAAAGAGAATAAATATTCAAGTGATCCAACTCCCAAAAACAAAAAATCTTTATAATTTATTTTTTAATTTTTATATGATTACATAAGAATGTATAATTTATTTTTCTAAAACTATTCAAGTTTAAATTGCATATGCTTCCACAAGTATAATAATAAAAAAAATAATTTTACACATCTAAGTCCAATAAAATTTTTTTTTTTTGCCACAAGCGCAATATGGATTTATGACATATAAAGTCATTAATTATTAAAATAAAATGTAAAAAACTCATTTTTAGTGATTTAAAGATATGAAATATATTGGATCATACTTAAAAATTTACAAAAATTGATCAACATTTATTTTAAAACCCAATAAATATGATTATGGAAAAAAAATATGCGTATCGGTAATTTTTTTTCAAATTGTGCGAAAAATAAAAAAATTCACGGCCACCACCACAACCGTAACACCGCCACCGTTACAATGACTGCAACTGCTTTTTAAAACCTTGGACACCTAACATAAATACACTTAGAAAGTATAATATTTGTGAAATTTTTTTTAAAAAAATTCACTAAATACTAAAAATACACCAAAAAAAAAAATACAAAAATTCACTACATTTTTCGTATTTTTGTATATTTATTAATTTTTTAAAATATTTTTTCACAAATATTTTACTATTTAGATACATCTAAGTAAGGTGCATCTAAAAAAGTAAAAAATTGCTTAAAATTTTAAAAATATTCACTAAAAATAAAAGAACATGAAAAACAAAAAGCTTAATTACCAGAAAACTGAAACCAAACACACGATAGAATTTCTGTTTTGGTGGATCAAAACTAATCCCTTTAATTAAACTTTAAACATGTCAGACCCATTTCTGTGTGTTAAAAAGACATAAAATATGAGAAGTTCTCCTCTACGGATACAAGCATACAAATTCTCCAAAATAGATAACTAAAAACTTAAAAGTGTAGAAGACAAAATACCAAGAGGTACATTGAACACTAAAAATGTAATAAACAGCATACTATAAATCAAACCGAACCAAACCTTAAGTTCCATCAAATGGGGTCGGCTATAAACAATCCTACCTGAGGGTTCACTGCAATAGCCGTATCAGCAAATAAAGTCTCTGGGCGTGTCGTTGCAATTGTCAGATAGTCACTCCTACCAGGAGAAGAAAATCCTAACATTAATATATATATATATATATAAGTAACAAAACCTTTTTAAGGCTGTCAAATAGTTGATATAAAATAAATAGACACACAGGAAACTTATTTCATGAATGATGGTAAATCTTACATAAGCATTCTACATCAGGACTCAAGGATGTGGATGTGTACAGAGCTCAAGATGATCTATGTTCTACCATCATATTTTGGTTTTGAGAAATGAAGGGCGAACGAACCACTTTGAGTTGAAAAGATAGTTATACAATTATATCTCTTCCTTCTTATTTATCTATTGTTATGTAAAGAAACATAAAACCACTGCAGGACTATGAATAACTCATTCCAGACTCCGCTCATTATCTACTGTAATTTGGAAGTCTGTACCACTTGTTTCTTTCTCAGGTTTCTTTAACAATTTAAGTAGCACATAAAGGAACTTGGACACATGCTGAGACAGCAAATCCTATAAAAGAAGGACACAAATACAAAAGGGACACGATAATAAAAAAAAACTATAGTCCTTGAATAGTATTAAATGTACATTAATGAAAATACCCCAGAAGTACCACACGATGGAAACAAAGCCCATTTTCTAAATCTACGAGCCCAAAGACTTTTAATCCGCTTGCTATGATATTTATCAATTTTGAATTCTTGAAGTAAAACAATATCTGCTTGATTCTTATTGACAAAACCCTTAATCATCCCCGCTTCTTCCTAGACTAAGGCCCTGTTTGGTAGAACTGTGGGAAAGTGCTTATAGCTTATGCCTAAACAGTTTATAGCTTATAACTATGAACATAAGCTGATTTCTGACTTATAAATTAAGCAGCTCTTGCCCCACTCAAAGAATAAGCTGATTTCTGACTTTCAAAAAGCTATAAGCTATAAGCTATAAGCTAAACCAAACACATTAAAATAGCTTAAATTAAGCTAAAAGCTGAAATAAGCAGCTTTTAAGCTGCACCAAACAGGCACTAAGTCCTCTTAACATTCCAGCTTATCAACTTCATTAAGAATAGTTAACAGCCCTTTCTTCCTTTCGGCGCCCCTCATAAGTAATACCCCACACCTCGCCCCTTTCCTAGTACTTCCAACTTTCCTGTCAATTCTTAGTTATCATGCTTCTTTAGAGAAGGTTTATTCTCTTTGGAAGCCATAAACTACAGTTCAGGTTCCACAGCAACCGATTAGAGTCAAGTCTATCAAAGCAATTGCAACTTCCCTGTCAATTCTTAGTTATCATGCTTTTCAGAATGGTCTGACAAAATTTAATGTATGTGTCAATAAAGAAGGAAAGTGAAAAAAAAAAAAAAAAAAAAAAAAAAAAAAAAAAAAAAAAAACAGAAGAAAAGAGGAGCACAAGTTTCTAAACCAGCAAATTTGCATCCACATACTTGACATTTGAGCCCTTTGACAGATCAGTCTACTATCAATACATATGAAAGAATTAATAAACTTCAAATACATACAAGATAACTGAGTGCTAATTACCTTGAACCTCCAGCAACACGATACTTAATATAATACAGAGTACCAGGTTCTTCAGAATACTCTACTTCCTAGGCATAATCAAGATGGTTTATGTCAACTATTAAGATTATAAACATCAAAGCATAACATTGATAGTACACATATTACACCAGATTCAACATACCAAGTCTGAAACTGCCGTCTGTAAGTTAGGAGACCAGTTGACCATGTAAGATCCTGCAAGAAAAAATGTCAAATGCCCAAATTTTTATGGCCAAGTGCTTGGAATGTGACTCTCTTTGCTCTATTTGGCAATGAGCTCCACTTTCATTAGCATATCTAGATATACAATGGTAAGGATGCAACAAGTGTGCGTTAAGTTTTTTAAGGAGTGTATCCTTTCCTGTCTAAAGCCTGCTTGAAACAGATGATCAAACCAAAAGAGAAGAGCTAGCCATGAGTGCATTACGCAACTAATGGCAAACGATTAAGCAGCCAGAGAATGGGCCCAACAATGTACATCAAGCTCTCATACCCTCCTTTACACACAACCCCTAGATAATGCATTTGCATCCATCATAATATTAGTTAAAGAGGGTATTTATTCTCGTCATGTTCTTCATATGGAAATCTGAGGCCGGGGGACCATTCCCTTGACTCATACTGATGACAATTTTACTCCACGAGAAATTGAACAAAAAACTGCTGAATTGACCTATTTCTTGCATATACCAATTTAAGTTTTTTGAGAAATGAACTAAAGAATGAATGCATTCTCTCAGCAGGAGAGAAAAAGTCAAGAATCCTCTATAGATAGCAACACACAAATTGAACAGGACTAACTGACTACAAACACACGAATGTGAGCAAGCCACAAAGATCAACATAATGAAGAAACAAAAACACACCGAGAAATTGAAATCAAGAATTCTCATGATTAAAGCTCTTACACTAAGTTGACAACCAATTATCCCAAAAGCTTAAGCTGTTAGATAATGGGCCCAACAATGCATATCCCCCATAAGTTGGCTCAAGCATTAGTTGCAGATGTAATTAATGTTTTGAATTTTCAAAGGAGGCCTAAGAATTTGTCCAGCTGTTGGTCAAGCATTTTCCATCTAATTAATCCCAGCCTCTTGCAAACATGATGGGGGCCAGGGTGGTTAAGGGAAGGCACACGTAAAATTTATCAAAAGAAGAAAAGAAAAATTCACCATAGGAGCCACTGGCTCAGCAGTTAAAACTCGGCCTGCAAGTTGTGGCCACTTAAGCAAATTGTGCCAAAGGTTATTTATACCTAATCTACATCCCCTAGACCCCCATCCAATGATAAACTGACATATATTTACAAGAAAAGAAAAACTCACTACTATAGTGTAAGGTTAGTAATTGTCCAAATAATGTCTCAAAGACATCAAACTGTAGAAAAATAGGAACACAATATTTATATTCACCATTGATATTTTGATAGTCCATGAGTTTTGATCACAAGTGATTCAAAAAGGCAGCCACTAGGAGAAAAACAAACTAGTTAGTTTTTTATAGAGCTTCAATATTTTTATAGGTCAAATATCCAAAAAAATGCCTCCATAAAACATTTGGATTCTAAATAATTCTAAATAATTCATTGACCATGTGCACCTCTGACCTAATTAAAGAAATAAATGAGGTTTAAATTTTTGGAAAGCAACACCCATCTAATTCATGGAGGTAATTGTTAGTTACTAAAAATAAAATTTAAAAAAAATGGGGCCTTCTTTCCTGATCATATTTCCCTCCAATAAAGTCAACGTGTCATGTGTACTTATTTTAGGGCGAATTACACTAACATTCCCTATAGTTTGAGGTTCATGTCACTTTGGTCATTGACTTTTCAATTGTGACACATTTGACCTTGAATTTTGAATCTTGTTCCAAATAAAGACAATTGAAAATACCATTACTTAATTTCAAGGGCAAAATCGTCAATTTGATAAAATATACACTAATTTGACAAATTAAATGTCAAAAAAATATTTTAAAATTTTTAAAAATTATTTCTATTCACCAAAGATAAAATTATATAAAATTGGTAAATCTTTTAGACATTTATTTATTTATTTATTTTCTCAATTAATTTCTATTGTGTGTTTGGATGATGATCATATAATGGGTGGTTGTTAGGATTTTAATGTGTAATTGATATATTTAATATATGAAATGTTTTTAGTTTTGGATTTTTTGATTTAAAAGATTGGTTTAATAATAGTATCAAAGTTGTCGCTATCTTTGATTTTTGAAAAAATAGATATTAATTTAATGAAAATAAAAACAACCACCTATTACATGATCATCATCCAAATACATAATAAAAATTAATTTGGTAAAAAAATAAATAAATAAATGTCTAAAAAATTTATCAATTATACATAATTTTATCTTTAGTAGGTAGAAATAATTTTTGAAAATTCAAAAATATTTTTTTGACATTTATTTTTGTCAAATTAGTCTATATTTTATCAAATTGACAATTTTACCCTTGAAATTAAGCAATGATATCTTCAATTGTCCTTATTTGAAACAAGATTCAAGATTCAAGATTCAAAATTTAAGGTCAAATGTGTCACAATTAAAAAGTCGGGACTAAAGTGACACAAGGCTCAAACTATAAGGACTGCTAGTGTAATTCGCCATTTATTTTAAAATTAAAAAAATTAAAAAAAAAATACTCCCATAATTTAAATTGATAAAACACCAAAGTCATCCCATCTGGGCTGTGAGCTTCAATCAATGATCTTATGTTTATTCTCAAATCAAACTAGGGCGTTCAGATTTAAGACACTGCGAAAAAGCCACAAGCACATACACTTTCACATAGCTTTACCATTTCTTGAATAAGATTGTTGTCTATTTTAACTCCTGAAAAGAGATTGAAGTCTTGAGGAGGGTAATTTTCACTTTAGATTCTTCTTTCATTCCATCATCAACACGACAGATATGTTACCCTTCCCTTGATTAAGTTGTTTTGGACGGCAAAGAAACCTCCCTCATAAGTTGGTATGGATAGTAGTACACTCAAAATTAGATATAAAAGAGATGCACAAAACTACAAGTCTTAGAAACGTTCTATGGCCAAACATGTGTTATCAGCTATAAAAGTTGAGAGAAGGTGCATCATTTGGCTCATTACTTGTCTAATACCCTACTCATCCTTAAGATGAGTGTTTCCTTGTGATAGATGGAATAACCCTTGAATGCAGCAACTTTATTGGAATTCCTTTTGGAGGGTTTAGCAAAAAACAAGGGAGCAAAACTTAGTGGCCTTGTTCCATGTTAGGAGTCTGCTAGCATAGAAATACTAAAATCATAGCACTCTTTACAAGAGTCATAGGATAGGATCTTCTCTTTCCAACCTTTGCATTCAGGACACTGAAAGTATGGAGAAGCTACTTTAGGATCACCATGTGAAATTAGGCCTAAATTGCTCTTCGGACAAAAATTCAGTGCTTGCTCACTTTTGGAGACCTAGAAGAGAACAAAATTCTTCTTTTTTTCTTATCGACAACCTAGAAAATAAATATTAGAGAACGTGTTGAGAAGGCACTCCCTCAACCCTTGTACAACTAGAGAAGAGAAAAGAGAAAGAAAAACAAACAAAATCACACAAAAGATAAATTGGAAACCCCTAAAACCCAACATGCAATCTCTCCCCATTACTAAAATACTTCAATAAAGTGTTAACGTTCAGAGCCCCTCTCTTCAAAATTAAAGCCAGTTCAAGATTGAGTGCAGTTTACATGGTTCTTGTGAAGTTGAACACATGAGGTTGACCTGCTTTCATTATAGATAAAATTCCTCTGTTCTCATACGGTGGATAAAAGCCAGGTGCCTAGTTCCTAGAACCAATAGTCATTTTATTTAAAAATAAATAAATAATCCGGCTGATGGAGGCAAGTGGCAGCAGCCTCTTAAGGTGTACAATAGACGAGGAAGAGATGCCTCTAAGGCCCAAGCTTTGATTTGGCATGCATTGGATGATGAGCAACTCATTTGGGACCGTGGATAGTTATGTTTTAGGCTCATGAGTCATGTTCTATTATTATTATTATTTTAGTTTAGGGTATTTTGGTAATTTCATAATTTCTAGACATGGGTTATACGGGGTCGCTCATGGTTGTCTTGTGGGTCAAGTTATTTAATTATATTTCTTATTTGGTCTTAAATTAATTTTAGAAGCCAAAGATATTATATAATAGTTTCCTTTTCTGGTTCTAATTGGTTTAGGAAGTCTCTTAGGCCTAGGTGTGATGCTATTAAATCAATAGACTTAATATTTTAAAGCCATGTAATGCTATTAAAGCCATGTAATGCAATTAAATCAATAGACTTAATATTTTAGAGAATTGTTAGAGCTTTGAAGCTTTCTTATGGATTATGTGATGCAATCAAACCTGTTAAAATCCACCTACTCTCCACCTACTTCACCCACTTAAACCTACTCCACTAAACCTAACCCACTACACCACTACCACCTCACCTACTCCACTAAACCTAACCCACTACACCACTACCACCTCCACTTCACCTACTCCTTACCTACTACACACTCACCCTCTTCTATATATAGGAATCATGAATCATTGTAATTGATATCAATAAAAATCAATCAATAATACAATTCTCTATTTTCTCTTTATACATTAAATTTCTACAAAACCCTAGGTGTGATGCCTAAGGGATTCTAGGAGTGTTTCCTAGACCTATCTTCTTCTCCTCCTTTCTTTCCTTCTTAAATTTCGATACTTTCACAGCCCCGGAACAGCCCTTACAGCGCTGTCCTGCATCACCAGCTTGTTCTGTTACCATGGATTGCAGATGGGCTCTCAAATTGGTGTTTACAAAAGAGATGTCTAGGCAAAAAGAGAAGCAACTATGCTAGAGCACTTCAGAATGACTATTTACCCACATCAGTAATGGCACTATTCTACACATTCCTTTTAAAAAGCCATTCTTTTCTTTCTCCAAAAGGCAAAAGAAGAGGGAAAAGGAGGACATATCCAAATACAAAGTATGTGGAAATAACAATCTAGCTATAAAACACCAAAAGCTAAGGATTTGCAACAAAATGATGCTACCCAGTAGAGAGAGGGGGGAGAGGGGGAATGAACTTTTTGTAGTAACCAAGATAACAATAAAAAATCAAATAAGCAACATACCTTGATAGATTAGGCCTTTCTCATGAAGCCTAACAAAAGCCTCAATTACAGCTCCTGAAAAATCAAAAACATGAACTCAGAACAAGTAGCAAAACTGCAGTACAAAGTACAACCACTACTATGCACTTCTGATTGACAGCCTCAGACAAAAGATAAGTATTTTATCAGACAGTAGACAAACATGTTAAAAAGAAAAATCAAATAAAAACAAGAATTCATTGACAGCGATATTTCTTAGCAAAATATACATTATGCAGCATCCTAGATACCAAAGAATTGAATTAATGGGAGAACACATGCACCCATTCTAGACTCGCTGATATACTGGATAGAGAACTGTCTTACGACTTAGCTGCTCATCAAGGGTGAAATGTTCTCGGGTCCAATCACAAGAAGCACCAAGTCTCTTAATCTGATTTGTAATGGCTCCACCATACCTACAAAAGAAAAGGTAAATAAATCACCAAATCATGGAAAACATAAGAGCACAAGGAATAGATAATTGATTTTTCTTAAATGCCAGTAGTTATGCACAATAAAATACTCACTTATTAGTAAATTTGTACAATTAACAAATTTGAACCAGTAAAACATGTACCTAAGGGTGTGTTTAATATGTAGGAATAGGAAGGATGCGATGAAATGGAAGAATTGTAGTGGGAGATTTTTAGTTTAATCCTTTCATTCTTCTCTTGTTGGACGATTAGAGAACTTGTTCCCTTAGACAAGTGCTTGGAAATCAAGGGTAAAGTACTGGCAAAGATGTCCTTTTTCATTTGGACAGAAGCCCTTAACTCAATCCTTACAATTGACAACTTGGTCAGGAGGGGATATATGCTCCCTAACTGGTGTTGCTGGTGCTGCAGAGCTGAGTTGTCGTTAGATACTTCACTCTGAGGTCACAACGGATTTAAAGAGTTTGCATTACTCCAATTTTTGTGTACATTGGGCTATGGTGGCCTGTGTGTGAATGTTACATATGGTTTGGGCAGATGAGTGGTGCACAAAGATGTAGAGTGTACAGAGGGAGCAGAACCAGTGCACTTCTGATAATATAAAGATGACTGTATATAGATGTCTTTACAACATAACTTCCATTTTTGGCTAGAATAAAATTTCCATCAAACTTCTTCTCTTGTTGATTTAATAGAACTTAGCTTTGGCGAAGGGCTTTCACTTGTGTGCAGAGGTTGCACCCCTTTCGATGTTTTTAGTGGAATTTTCTTTAAATCATATCAACATGGAAACAAAAATAATAATTAAAATAAAAAGAAAACATGTAGGACAAGTAGGTATACTTCTCTTTCCACTCCCAAACCCGATTTGTGAACTCCTCTCTGCCCAGATCAATCCTTTTTATTCCTTCAGATGCTAGCATTCTTTCTACAACCAACTGAAAGTAAGGCATATTAGCTTCCAAAGAGAGCCTTTAAGAATAACAAATAAATAGTAAAACAAGATTGGTTTCAATTCCCGTAAGGCAATATAATACTCAAACCATTACACATCACAAGAAATATTATGGTAAAAGTAATGATTATTTGATCATCCAATACAGATGCAAAACGGGATGTTAGCCGTTTCAATTCCTGTAAAGCAATATAATACTCAAACCATTACACGTCACAAGAAATATTATGCTAAAAGTATTGATTACTTGATCATCCAATACAGATGCAAAGTAGATGTTTTGAAGAATTCATGCAGACCAATGCACATCCAACAACAAGAAATGATCTTATTCAATCTATTAAAGTTGTAGAAATTTCAATTTGAACCCCAAAATAATAACCTTGATGCCCAACAAAAATTTGAAATATTAATTTGAACCCCAAATAAACTTGTCATCCTTAGAATTTGAAATAAATGTCATTCTAGCCCAAAAGAACTTGAAATATCATCTCAACCCCCAAGAAACCTGTGAATTAGCCAAATAGGAGCGGATTTCCCACCAAAAACTATAATCTGTCTGCAACTTGGACTCAGATCCATTGAGCCTTTGAGCGAATTAGGTATCCTAGATCATAACTTCTATATTTTACTTGGCACTAATAATTTTCCCCCTAATAATCCAACTACCCTACTTCACGTCACAATCTTTTATAAGATACTTCATGTCACAACATCATAAGCATGCATTGAAATAGTGAAGAAAATAAATAAATAAATAAATAATTCCTTAACTAAGTAATGAGACTCAAATCCATTGAGCCTTTGAGCGAATTAGGTATCCTAGATCATAACTTCTATGTTTGACTTGGCATTAATAATTTTCCCCCTAATAATCCAACTACCCTACTTCACATCACAATCTTTTACAAGATACTTCATGTCAAAACATCATAAGCATGCATTGAAATAAGGAAGAAAATAAACAAATAAATAATTACTTAACTAAGTAATGAAACTCAATTTGCAATGTGAAAAATTCAACAGAAATTGGACTCTCACTAATTATTTAAACAAACAAAAATTCACCACAGAGAATGTGCATTCACATAATAAGAAACAAAAAAATTGACGTTGAAGACATTTTAAGTTTTTAACAAAACAATTGAATAGGCAAGGTTGATAATATCATTGGTTTACAAATATTCGAATGAAGGCAGGCTGCCCAAAATATAAATAACATCTATTAATGAATATATTGTTAAGAAATTACGACACTTAGATCCAGAGACAAACCTGAGTTGCAATACCAGCATGATCGGTTCCAGGAAGCCAGAGTGTAGGTTTTCCCTTCATACGATGGTACCTAACCATGATATCCTGGAAAAGCAATTATATAATGAAGAATTATGGAATTTGGAATTTCCTAAAACCCCACCAATGTGGCAAATGGAAAACAAAAATTTACACACACACACACACACACACACACATATATATAAGTTGTGTTCATTGTACTCGGATATGGGTACAAGTATGTGCCTGGGTGTCCAATGTGCCTGGGTGTCCAATTCATCTAATTCTCAAGTCCAAAGACATGAGGATACGACAAAATATTTATACTTCTTGATTGAAGGGTGACCTAGTGCTTGACGCTCATGCTAACGTGGTGTTTGGGGAGGACAAGTTGTACAGAGTCTTGCCCTTATTTTGTTAAGGATTAGAACTTCAATTTAGAAATTAGGGTAAATTAAATGCTATTGTCCAATATCACTTTACCCCCCTCAATTAAAAATTGTAACACCTAAACCCCCCTCATCTATTAATTTTTTCCAATTTAGACTTTTATGACGAAAATACCCTTTCATCAATAGGATAAATTATACTTTACCCCCTTGAACTATCACCCAATATCATTTTACTCTCTCAAGTAAAAAATGATACATTTGTCACTATGAATTATAAATTTATATCAATGTAAATATTTTTTCAAGGATGTCTCTTAAATAGATAAAAAATTGACATGTGATTTACACATGACATCTCAAATGGAATGCCTAAAATGACATTATCAATTTGTTTTATTTGGTTTTTAGTGAAAAATGTGAAAATATATCAATTTATATATATATATATATATTTTCGTTTTTAGTGAATTTTTTAAAAATTTTGACTGACATATGAAAAAAAAAATACTAAAAGCAAAAATAAAAATAAAAAATAGACTCAAAAACTATATTTTTGCTTAAAAGTTAAATAATTTTTTTAGTTGAGGAGGTAGAATGATATTGAGTGATAGTTTAAGGGGGTAAAGTGTAATTTACCCCTATAGTTGAAAGGATATTTTCGTCATTAGGTCCAAATTGAAAAAAATTAATAGATGAGGAGAGTTAGTGTTACAAATTTACAATATTTAGTTCAAGGGAGTAAAGTGATATTAGGCAATAGTTGAGGGGGGTAAAATGTAATTTGCCATAGAAATTAAGAATATTTAGATACTACAAATATTTTAGACAAACTAGGACTTCAAATGAAATTCAAATAACATACTCAAGGACTATGAATACTGCTCATGTCCAACAGTTGTTGAAATCACCATAATACTTCTAGGTATTAAAAAGTAATATAATGACACTATATTTGTCTAGTAACATAATAAACTAAAATAAACAACAAAAGACTTAAAATTATTCCAAAATTGGCACGAAATTGGGGTATAGAGACATGGAAGTAGACAAGGCAAGTCCGGTGATTCCATCTCCTCTAAATGGTGCAACAAAATCTATATTCAAGAGTTGCACAATAATGCATGTGGGAGGGAAAAATCCTAAGTTCGAAATTTGAACATGACTACCAAAGTCTAAAAGCAGGAAAATAGAAGCCGCGTGGAAATACAAAATCCTCAATCCAGTTCATTTCCCTCAGAGAATGCCAACTTGAAACAAAGTGGAAAACGAACAATGTAAGCCAAGGGAGTAAAAGCTCAAAATCATTACTATCATAAAATCCTCAGAGGTGCGAACCCCTTGAGCAATGAAAGGATGTCAATAGTCCAAGGAAGGTTTTATGAAGAAAATTATGTGATGTGGTCCAAGCTCCCTAAGGGAGTGCAAATCCCTTGAGACATAATCTCCTCAAAGAATGCAAACTGACGAGAAGCAGACAGCTCTTGGTAAATCCATGTTTAAATAGGTCCAAATCATTTGAAGCCATAGGATAGCTATTCTGAGATAGAGCTAACGACTCTCACAAAGATGGGAAGATCAGTCATCGATCACTATTCAAAACCACTTCTGTTAAAGAGCCAAATCCGCCGATACCCCTGGATAGTTGTTTTGAGATAGACCTGACAACTCTCTCAAAGATAGGAGACCAACCGTCAGTCCTTATTCAAAATTACTTTCGTAAAAGGGCCAGATCCCTGAGGCCCCTAGATAGCATTCCGAGATAAAGCAAGGCGACTCTCTTGAAGATAGAAAGATTAGCCATTGATCCCAATTCAAAACTCACATCCGAAAAGAGTTAGATTACTTGAGGCCCCAGGATAGCTTTTTGAGACTGGGCTGACTACTCACTTGATGATAGGAAGATCTATCAATCCCAATGTCAAAATGGTAAGACTTTCCTTTTGGACTTGAATTTGTGGTAGAAGTATGGTCGATCTCAAGACTATGCTCTACTAGCTCCCTCAAGATTTTGGGAGATCATGCGATTTAGTGGCTAAAAGTAAAGGATCATCAAGGCAGTCACAAACCTCTCAACCCTCGGTTAACCTGAAGAGTATCCACTCAAAAGAGAATGACCCAAAGGGAAATAGGTTGCTTTTGCCCCGACCAAATAGCTAGAGAGAGAAATATTCCCATGCGGTCCCTAGGCCACCTAGTGTCACCATATTGATTGCTTGGCCACCAAGCTGATCCTAGGTGCCTATAAATAGCCACACCCCCTATAGCCTTATTCATTCAGTGAAAAGTGGGGCAGAGTGGTATTGATATAAAGGGGTTATTCTACTATTTTTTCTTTCCAACCTGTTTGCCTTGCTTTTCACCCAACCATTTCCTTTCATCATCTCCATCTTGTTTTCTCCAACTGATCGTCTACAAGTTTTCACCTCTCCAATGATTTTATCCATTTTACCAATCTCCTACAATTCAAACCCTACAACGCATTCCAAAGATCTGCCCAAATTTTCAAATTTGTCTTTTTTTTATTCTTTGTATGCTCATCATCAAACTTTGTGTTTCCCATAGTGTATTATAGCCTAAAATCAAATATAGATTTTCATATTGTGAATGATCTCTAATGAATAGTATTTCTAAAATGGAGATAACATAGAAGCATTTATCGTTTTAGACAAATTACTTCGTTTCCAAATAAAGCTACTATTGGATGAAGTTAGGTCTGCGCTGTCTCAAATTCAAATTGGTGGACAATAGCTACTAATTTGGTAGGAAGATAAAATTAAAAATTGTTAAGACCAAGTGATGTAGCACCAAGAAGATGAGAAGAAAAAGAATCTAGAGAAGAAGAGAAGAAAGGGAAAATGCTGAACACAACCCCAAACCAATATTCAATCAATGCCAAATAACGTGGTCTCCAAACCTACTACATGCAAGCCTATTTCTAGGCATCCTAAGCAACCCTAATTAAAGTTACTAAAAATAAAAATTATAATAATTAAATCTTAATAAAACAATAAAAGATAAATAAGAAAATAATATTAAAATAAATTTTTAGTCTTCAATTTAAATTTATCCAATGCCCTTTTCATTCCCCATCATTTCTTCCAAACTAAAATAAATAAATAAAAAATTATACTCCGAATGGTTGTAATGCTACTCCAAGAGATGAAGCTCATGCTAGCAAAACATTTCCTCAACCATGATAGCATATGAACGATGACATACTTCCTCAGTATTGTATCTACATGATTTGCTCATCCTTAAGTGCCAAAAAATTTACAGTAAGGTGGAGTCACCACTTGTGGAACAAACTGTTGAATCAATACATGTGCCTCATCATTGATACTAATGCTGATAAGATTTTATTTTTAAATCCAATGTATCTTATTCTCCTCTGAAGTCAATTGCTCCTGTATCTTTGTCTCATGCTACAAGTTCTTTTAAGATTGCTCTTGATCATTCACCTCATAAGTCTGTTACTTGTGTTCCTGTACTGGCTCATACTAGTTCTGTTGAAGATGTTCTTGATTACTTTTAAGTATCACAACATTACCTACAACCCTTTAAATCAAGTTTCCTATCCATCCAAATATTTCCTATTAAAATGTAATGAACATATTATGTTATTCTTGAATATACACAAAGTGCATTTTTTACTGATTTTTCTTTGGATATTAATATTTATTCAATTTTCAAAATAATGACAATGCTACTCAATCGAGGCACCTCAGAACGTTTTACTTGTCGATGCTTTGTGCAAGAGTTAATATTGTTTCATTTCCAGCTCATGGGGGTCAGATTGTTTATATTATGACAAGTCCAAACATAATTTCAGTCTTGGCAATCAACAATGCTACTTCATGAGAGTCCAAGCTGGTTCGACTATGATCTGGATTGAGGATGTACTTCAATGTTCGCATGCTATCAGCGTTGAAGAAGTCCTTCGCCAGCATGAGCTTCATCTCTTAGTACTTTTACATTACAACTCTATGGAATAGAGTTTTTCTTAGCTGAGGAGCAATGATTTGTGTTAAAACCTATCACCTACTTCACCTACTAAACCTAACCCACTATACCACTACCACCTCACCTACTCCACTAAACCTAACCCACTACACCACTACCACCTCCACTTTACCTACTCCATCTACCACCTACTACCACCTACTCTTCTATATATAGGAATCATTGTAACAAATTACAAACATAAATCAATAATACAATTCTCTTTTTCTCTTTATACATTAAATTTCTACATGGTATCAGAGCAAGGTTAAGCACTTAGTATTTTTCGCTTCACCGGCGGGCGGCAACCTCGCCTTGGCCGTCCGCCGGACCTCAACCTAATCTGCTAAAATTTTTCTACACATACCTTGAAATTTCCTTTCTGAGTGCACTACTGTTCAGTCGCCGGAGACCACCACCGCTTGCACGTCGATGTCCCTTTGCCAAAGCTCCGTCGCGACACCGGCCTTCCTTGCGTCTGGTTTCAATCCCCTGCTATTCCAAGCCACAAAATAGGGCACGACTTTTGAGGGCTCGATATCTATATCCATTTATATCTTTTGGGCAGTCTATATACACACTCATACAGTGTCTTCTACACCGGTAACATGGTACAAGGGCCCAACCCTTCTTGATGCTCTCGACATGGTTACAGAGCCCAAGAGGCCATCAGACAAGCCTCTTCGTCTCCCA